ATGTACAGGTACAAGCACCCAATGATAAATGTAAATGTATTGTATACCTAAAATGTACCAATAAAAGAATTTAAGGAAAAAAAAAAAGCTCATGGAATAATGGTAATTGCTAAAGATGGTCATGTTTGCCAGGACTCCTCTGGAGGGAGCCCATGAGAGGCTGCTTCTTTCCACCCTTGCCCTGGGGAAGGGACAAAGTACACAAGGGAATGAATGGTCCCCAGCTCTAAAACTCTCAAGCCCCTCACCTGGTTCAATATAGATTCTGCCAAATGATAACTATTTTCATGAGAGAGTGAATAAAAAGGACTGTCTTCCATTTTTCAAATTTACATCATAAATTGTTGAGTTAAAAGAGTTCACAGCAGCGTACTCTGGCACCTCCATTAAATAGTGGCTATCAAAGGACTAAAAGGGCCAAAGGGGAAGGGGAAGTGGGAGGGGTAGGGGAAAGGAAAGAAGGAAACAGAATTAATATGAGAAAATGAAAAAATGGAAACAAAGTCTTTGTAAATAGGGAGGGACGGAGGGGTTGAAGGGAGGGCAGGGGAATGGGGAAAAAATAAGAACCAAGAAAAGTTGTGTAAAGGTGCAAATTGTCAATGATGAATGTCATACATTGTATACCTAAAATGTACCACTAAAATTAATTTTTAAAAATGTATATTCTTACTAGTTAACATTTTATGTTGATATACATGCCTTGGTAAAGGCTAAAAATTCTTAATGAGGAAATCCCACAGGGAGAAGAGAACATAAGCAACCCTACAAAATCCAAAAGAGCCTAAAATACTGTGCCCACTTACGTTATCAAGAGAATGACAGGTAAGATAAACTTCCTACTTGTGGTCAGAGTTGCTAAAGAAAATAATTTGACATTGATGCACAGTAGCGAAGGGACTACACACTCAATTACCAGCCGGCCACGCAGCCACTCTGCAGCCAGGCCAGGGGAAGCTGGGTCCCCTGCTTCTAGATCTTTGTGTTTTCATGAAGAGGCAGAAACTTGGATTTTTATACAAAATTTACCATTTTTTAAATGTTAGCCACTAATTTAAAGATTGTAAAATGCTGCAAACACTGGACAAAATACATCTGCAGGCCAAAGGCAGCCAGGGAGGAAGGGAGAGGAGTTTCCAGCCTCTGTCCAAAGGTATCTGCATATTTCTGAACGGCTCATTTTGTTCACTTTTCTTCTCAGAAAGATGGAGAGAGGCAGGGAAATGGTATGAAATGGAGAGAAAAGCAAGAAAGGCAAGAAGTTGTTATTAAAAAAAAAATTCTAGGGCCGGGATTTAGCTCAGTGGTTCTGTCGCCTGCCTTGCAAATGCAAGGTCCGGAGTTCAATCCCCAGTACAAAAAAAAAAAAAAATTTCTAACATACTTATGAAGATAATGGTACCTATCTACATCACATTTTGAAGAAATCACATTTATTTAGCTATTCTAGGCAGGAAAAAACTTTCTTTAGCTGTTCATAGTATCTTTATTTGTAACAGCCAAAAATTGGAACCAATCCAAAGATCCAGCAGCAGGTCAAAGTACAAGCAAATGGCACAAAACGTTGAGAGAAGAATTTCTTGGGTCTGGAGTACAGAGTAACTCAGAACACTGCCCACGATTTACTGTCAATGAAACTACTAGAACTTAGTATTATGTATCACACGTCTATCATAAAAACTTTAAAATAATAGCAACAACCATTGAAATGCTCCTGTTTGCCAGGTACTATCCAGGCATTTGGCACCTAGATCACCAAGGTGGGTCACCCAGCCCATGGGCATGATTCCAATGAAGTCCAGCCTAACAAACCTCCCTCAGAAACAAAACAACAAAGAACTTACACTCAACATCCCAAAACTGGGCTCAGTCATTCTTTCCAAAGCCAAAACAACATATACAACATTTGTGCTAACGATGCTATCTGGACATAATTAGCAATTCATAAAGTACTTGCCTTACATGGCATCGCACTTACTCATCACAGCCTCTAACTGTGCATCCTGGACTTTATCTCTTGCCCAAAGTCTTTTTACAGCTACTGTTAACAGTAATACTTTTAAGAAACAAGAATGATGCTAGCAGATACTAGATACTTGGCATTTTCTATGTGCCTCGCACAGTGGGAAGCACATTTCATTTTACTCTCACAGGAACCTTAAGGCTATTCCTCCTATCACAAGCCCACTTGGAGAGGAAGGTGCTGAGGCCCTGAGGCCTGGGTGGTCTGTTTTAAATCAGCAACATATGCGTGGCTCACGACCTGAAGCAGCCTCACCGCCAGAGTCTGAGCCCAGGGTGCCACAGCCCTTTGAAGAAGGCCTCTTGAGGGCCATGTGCGCCTTAAGCCCACCTCAGTTTGCAGCTGGCAAAGGAGCCTAGGGCCTGGCGAACATCCCCTTTGTCCTCCCACATTGTCCACTTTCCCCACTTGGTCAGAAGCCATTTTTAAGTTATTTTTCTCACTCAAAAACAGTGTGAGTCACCTGGAGCTCAGCCAAGTTGGCCTTAGAGGGCCCTGGTGGCCTGCTGAGGTGCCCTGGAGGACTGGGGGTCCCTCACTGCTAGAGTCCAGACAGGCTTTTCACGTCACTGTGATCTGAAGGGACCTTGGAGGAGGGTCCTGACGGTCACAAGCCGGTAAAGTGGTCACTGAGGTATCAAGATGGGGAAAGGAGAAAATATTTATTTAACCAAGAGCTACGAGACATTTATTATTCAAAGTGGAACATTAGACCCTTGAGAGGAGACACAGCAAGGTGATAAATTATGCAAGTAAAAACATTGTTCAAGAACAACACACATACCCATGCACATGCACACAAACTGAAAAGGAAGCAGCTGCTCTGCAGTGATGCCTTCAAGTTCTCCTCTAACCCTCTGTGAAGCCCTGAGCCCCGACTGTCTAAGGTACTGCAGAGATCACAGGCCAGGGCCAGGCAAGAACAAGGACAGCAGGCACACAGAGGTTATTGTGACCCGCCACGGACAGTCACCTCAGAGTGTGTGCAGGTCGACACCAGAGGACGGGCAGCAGGCTCTGTCCTGGGAGCGAAATGGGTTCCTTTCCTGATAGAAGGATGACAAAGGAGCAAAGGGAGTGGACAGAGGAACACATCCTGCCAAGTCATGGACGTTTCCTCAGCACTGCAGGCTCTGATGCAGAAACCAGGAGATGAGGCCGAGGGCTAAACCCCAGGCACACAGCCAGGAGGCTCCACGAAGCAAAGAGCCTGGGGTGGCTCCATTAGGGTCTCTGCCGAGGTTCCCAGGACACACGGGGCCAGGAAGCATGATAGAGGAGCGGGCAACCTTGGGCTGCCGAGCACCTTTGGGTGGGGCGCCTAGCCAGATTCCTTGGTACTCCTGTTGTCCTGGCACTTACAGGGACTGCAGCAGGGCAGCAACAAACATTCATTAATCTGCTAACCATGCAAATGAATGTAAATGTATCACAGTCGCTAGAGATGAGCAGGAGGACAGGCTGCCAGAGCACATGGCAGGGGACCTGTGGGGCGCAGAAGAATGGGCAAGAGTGCACTCCTACAGGCCAGCTCCTAGGACCAGGCCCGCTCCACCAGAAACCCTGCTGCTCTGGGCCTCAGTTTCCTCACATGGTATCTCTGAGATAGTAATGAACACATTCCTCAGCCAACACCTACTGAGCCCCTCATGCAAAGTATTATCCCAGTACTGTGGCTGGCAATGCCTGACACAGGGTGAGCAGTCAATCGGCACAGAGAGTCATATGGGAAAGGTGACGATGACACCTCGCTTTTTCTCAGGGAAGTCGAGGAAGGCTTCCCCTGAAGCTGCTGAGGTTTGAGGGGTGAACAGGAGTGGACGAGGCCAACCAGGAGGCAAATGCATTCCGTGCGGAGGGAGAGCTGTGGAGAGTCCCTGCACTGGGCGGCAGCTTCATAGGCATTTCCAGCTGAGGAAAGTAGTTCCATGAGCCTGCTGGGGTGCCCTGGTCACATCTCTGTGCTCAGAAGGGTCCCAGCTTATTGTGAGCCCCCAAATAAAAGTTGCTTTCTTGCCGCAACTTCCTGGTTCCATAGCAGAATCAGGAAATGAAGACAGTAGGTATCAAGCTGAAGGCCCTGGATGAAAACAGGAATGTATTTCCTATAGACTCCTACACTGTGCTAGTTCCCACTTGGGTAGGAATCTGGGATCCCTGGGTCAGAACCTCCTCCTATTCAGTTACTCCTCAGTACACATCCACTGAGGACTTTACAAGGTCCCAAATGAAGATAAAAATGCCCTTCACATCTACTACCATAGAGAATCACAAGAGCTCTTTATCCTCAGTCCAAAATATATTCTCAGCTGGACGGTAGGCAGACCTTATTCCAGAGCATCTCTTAACAGATTATTTTACATTTTCAATTACAATTATTAATCCATCAACAAGAGCAAAAATTAAATTAAATTAAAAACTAAAAGTCAGAGACAAATAATATAGAGAAGTGACATTCCTGAGGTCCCAGTATACTGAGGGACACAACAGGCAGCCCCAAAACCACGCCTAGAAAAACCTCTTCTGCACTCAAAGCTGAGGAGTGCATTGGCCCCACCAAACTCAGTGGCCAGTGAACCTCCAATTCCAAGTACATTTGATTGCACCATAAATCTGTTGTTTGGCCACACAAACAGGCCTTGCTGTCTTCACTCTCTCAACAAACATGTACTGAGCCAGGTGCACTGTGCTGGCACTGGGAACAGAGAGATGTGTGTGTGTGTGTGTGTGTGTGTGTGTGTGTGTGTGTTCATTCTCCACCCTAAGGAGCTCAGTTTACTAAGCTTAACTGGTAGGTAGGTAAGTCAACAGCTACTCTGATAAGTGCTTTGCAAAGAGACCCATACAGGGTATTCTGGGAGGCAGGAGGAAGGTCACCTCCAGGTCACAGAGAGAGGTTGGGTGTACGGAGAGTCCGTGGAGGAAGGGGTACCCAGGACAGCAAGGGGAGACTGGGATTGTGCTACCTCGATGGGGAGCAGGCTCAGGTCATTCCTGAGATGACCTGGCACTGGCAAAGATCCTAGAGTTGAGGGCTGGTACTGGCTGGGCTGAGGCTGAAAATAAGGGGTTGAGAAAAGGCAGAATGAGGAAGGTGGCCCTGGGCCATGTTATGGGAGGATGGCAGGCTCCCTAAGGGGCCTGACTTTCCTCCTGAGAGCACTGATGAGCCCTTAGAGAGTTTTAAGTAGAAGAAAGCCATCATGAGACAAGGTAGATAGAAGCATCTTGTTGACAAGCACGCAGGGAGGGAATGAGGGAGAAGATGGGCAAGATGACCAATTAAAAGGACATTGTCAAAAAAAAAAAATCCGAATGATGACTCCTAAACACAGGAACACAAGGGAAGAGAAAAAAGTGAGTTGAGCAATCAGAAGATGGGCTGCTTAAGGCGCAGTACCCAGTGGCATATGATAGCTGAGGGAAAGAACAAGCCAAGGACCACGCCTGAAGGGGAGGCAACTGAGGGGTTAGGTGACAGCGCCACAGGGAGCAAAGCAGCCCGCCAGCAGCAGGGAGGAGTTCAAGGCGCCCTGGGGCGGATACCCAGGAGGGAAGGCTGGGCCAGGTTCCCACCCAGAGGCAGGTCTGGAGATCTACAGGACAGAGAAGTAGATGTGCTCACCCGGGAGAACACCAGGGATGGCAGGAAAGGGACAAGGCTAAACGAAGGCTAAAGAAAAAGAAAGGAACATGGGCAAAGCAGGCTGCAGAGGCTGGGCCCTGGGAGGTTGGGGGGAACCACTAGACCGCAGAGCTGGGGACTGGGAAGGGAATGCTCAGCCTCAGGAGAGGGTTGTTACTGGAAGGGCAGGAGGCAGTGTTAACCAGACCCAGAAATCAAAGGGAAGGGCTCAGTGGACAAGTCTAGAGCGGCATCTAAGACCACTGTCACACACATTTCACTTGCTCCATCAGAGAGGCCTTTTCTGATCAGCTACCTAATCTATCAGCTTCACACTCTCCACCCCAACCTCCCTTTCCTTCCCAACGTGATTGGATCATGCCTGACGTCACACATCGTACTCTACATCTAGAACACCTGCCTCCCAACAACAGAGACTTCGTCTGGCATCGCTTCTGTAACAATCGTGCCAAGAGCAGCACCCGGCACACACGGGCTATGCACTCACTGCGTCCCAAGTCACCTGGTTCATGTGGAGCCGCAAACAATTACTAAGCATAAAACATGCTACATGCCAGATTCTGTCCTCGGCACAGGGATACAGTGAGAAGGCAAAATGGAGCCTTGCTTCTGAGGTTTGAAGTTGGAGGTGAGCAAAAAAAAACACCATGTATTTAGAGAAAAATTACATTACAATTGCCATAGAGCTAGTACTGGAACCAGCCTCTTGCCTTCAAGTGCTATTTCCTGTCCAAGTTTAAGGCTGCCATCTTCTCCAAAAACTAGAGGACAATTTTACCGAGGAAACAGCTAAACTAAGTGTGTGAGGTTTGCTCTTAGACTCTTCCAGACTTCCCAAATTTCTTTCACTCTTTTAATAGACTCCTACAAAGTGGAAACAACCACTAGAGAGTCTCAATAATTAACCTGAAGGGGTCAATCCACCTCTACAGAAGTAGCAGGAGAAATTCCAGACCTAAGTGAGAAAAAACAGGGAAGAGCATAAACCAGGGGTCATCTAGGCCTGGGTTCAAATCCCTTGTAACCTTGGGGAGGTTGTTCAACCTCTGAATGACTTGCTTTCCTTATGCCTAAATGGAGTACTAACTCTCCCACGGTCAGTATCTGCAGAGATGAAATGAAATGATGCACACGGAGTACTTATCACTGTACAAGGTGCCTGATCAGTGGCTGAACAGTTACATCTACTGGTTTTTTTTCCCTTTTGTGGTACTGGGAATTGAACTCAGGGATTCATGCATGCTAGGCACATGCTCTAGCTGAGCTCCACCCTCAGCCTTCTTTTTATCTTTTATTTTAGGACAGAGTCAT